AACCTTCATTCAAAAGATTTATTGCAGTTCAAAAATTATTCAAAAATTCCATGAACCTTATTGGCAGCATCAATGAAAATATTTTACAGTTTTAACTTTTGTTTCGACGTTTTGGTTATACTGATCTATCTTCCTTTGAATAACATATAATAAAGCATCACGATGCCTGTGGCATAATAGTCTGAAATAACACAGTAGTTCTTGGGAATAAGTCGGTTGGTAAAAAGTAACATCATCAAAAGTACTTCTCTTCAAAACTTTTTTTAAATGAAATCATATAAATTCCTTTTTTGTCAACAGGATACTGTCCCATATCATGATATGAAAAAAAGCTGGTTGGTGCATTTGTTAAAAATAGTTATGTACTGAATGGATAAACATTCGTCTATTTTTTTTTATGTATTTGTACCATAGAAAAAAATTTAAATGAAAACCTGTTCTTTGCAGGCAACCACTGATATGATTGCTTTCTGCTGGAGGACATGAACACCTTGAAGTACACATAGATCCATACCAATTGTCAATGCATATTTGAGAGCAGTTGTATCCAAAATACCCAGCTGGACACTCTAAGAGATATAATAAATTAATAAACAGCATACTGAGATAACGAATTACAAACTGTGTGTCATTCAAATCCATATTTACACTTTATCAGCCTTTTTCAAACACATTTTGCAAAAAAAAAAAATGAAGCTGATTTTATCTACCATTGCAAGTATTATTGACGGGATAAAAATTGTAGCAGCAACTCAATGCCCCGTTCCTTCTAAATTTCAAGAGATTCCTTAATATATACGTGTAATGATAAATTATAAATATTAGTTTAATATGCTGAAATGTCTCGTTACATTTACTTACCCAAAAGGACAATATGTTACAGCCTTTGTAAAAGAAGATACAATGAAAAAAGTTATCAAAAAATGATCCATCATTTATATAATAATTATAATGTTGACACAAGTTTAAAGCTAGGTTTATTCTTAGTTGGTTTGCGGAAATAAAAGGGAGAATTTTCTCTCGCTGGAAAAAGCACAAACTTTACAATTTCCGATTGATTTGAAATGCATTAATTTAATTGCATTTTCTTACGTTCTTTCGGAACGACATTTGTGATCTCCAATGCACTGTTTAAAGTCATTACCATAGAAAAATTAACGGGGTTAAAAGTGAACTTAATTAATACTGTTTGAAAACCCAACTCCTGAAATTGAAAATTAACAAGGAAAATCACTGGATTTTGAGCTTGTTCTCTTGTCTTCTTTGACAGATAAGTTAGAAAACAAAATGATCAAAGTAATCATGACAAAAAAGGAAAGCAATATATCAATATTTTATGAAAACGTTCATCTTAATTTCCTTATATAAAAAAAATGTACATTATACGAATTGGTAAAATTTTAACCACTTTCCTAAACAAGAAAAAGTGTAGGTTTTTTCACATACAGAAAGTAGCAAGTAACATTATTGTGCTTGGTAAAGAAATGCAAACTCCTCTGCTTTAAGATACTGGTTCAACATCCGAAGCATATCTGGTAGTATGGATCCTACGATGTGCCATTCATACAAGTTTGGTCATTATAGGGCTCATAGTATCATTGAAAGCCTCGTCTAACGCCTCGATGTTTATCTTTCAAACTACATTTCCCGGCCTCGGAGGATTTCCTACAACATTCACGAAAAAGCAGACTTTATTTCTTAAACAATCAGTTACATATTTATTGTGTAGTTTTATTGAACATATACTTTTTGATATCTTTAATTTAAAAATACAATAATATTTTGAATTTGAATAATTTCTTATATAATGATATACTCACCATTACTTATCTGTCATTTTAAAATCCCTACAAATTGGTGTTCTTGAAAATTACAATTGCGACACAATAAGTGCAAAATCGATACAATGATGCATCACTGATTTCTTCTCTTTTCCAGTATTTCTCATCTCGATACTCCTTCCATCACAATCTTAACTTTGACATTGTTTCGGGAAATACTCGACATTTAGATATATCGACGATGTATTGTTGATTAACAATGGTTATTTCCATTCTTACGTCGATAAGATATACATGATATATGCTAGGGAGATATATAAATATGTTCCTGTGAGTCTGAGATAAAAGATACCACGAAGTCTGACACAGTTTACTTGAAAAAAGGTGTGAATTGTAATCTATCGACAAAACTCTACGATAAACGTGATGAATTTTTCGTCAACTTCCCTTAAAAAGGCAGCAATGTACCTTCATTACCTGCATGCGGGATTTATATCTTTCAATTGACTCGATACGCAAGAACATGTTCTACCTATGCAGACATTCTTAAATGAGGTAAATTCTTGTCGAACAAATTGATGAGACAAGAATATCAGTAGTCTTGTTTACAGTAACCTTTTCATAAGCTGTATGGTCGATACAATAACCTTGTCAGCAAATTTTATGATTGATTTAAATGCTTACTGATGTTTTCATACGTTTAGACAATTATTTACACTTTTGTTAAGTTGAATGTTTACTTTATTATTATAAATTATCTCAATTATTATTATCGTAAATATTATTTAAAATGTTTCATAATCAAATTTATGAATAAATATGCATTATAATATAAATTATTCTGTTCGCAATGCATTGCATAAGGATTCGACCGTCTATCAGAGCATGAAAACTAGCAAATGGAGGTTCATATTCATCGGAAGCATGCTTACTCATCCATGACACCTTATCATACCTCTGCTTTCAAAGGTTCGTTTCAGAAATCAATGTTAAATAGTTATTTTTATTTTTGGTAGAACATTTCGTACTTTATCACTCAATCTATGTTGCTCTGAAACGGCTACACAATTTCAATTGTTACAATTAAATTGTTCATCTCTTAAAAACTGTAGAAAATGAGGATGAAGCCTAAAGTTTTTTTTAAATTAATGTCCATTCATTTCTGAAAAGTTTCTTGCATATATGGTGAAGCATATTTTTTTTTACATATCTAAATGTAAAAAATTGTAAAATGCCTAAGAAGCAAATTTAAGGGGTTTTTTTAATTTCTTCCTAGCTGCGATTATAGTGGCATATTACCATATATTTTTAAATTAACAAATTTTACTTTTTACAAAAAATTACATATTTTTTGAAATTAACTAATTACTCCCCATCAAGGATGTTTTATTTCAAATAAGACTACGTTATCTTTTCTGTTAGACAGTAAAATTATATATTTCTCAAGAAATAGTAAAACATTTTTGATTAAACTTTATTCGAATTCAACATTTCTTCTTAAAATATGTTCAAAGAGAATTCTTCAGTTAAGTAAAAATCATTTTAAGAGGCGTGTTTGTAAAAGTGCATCTTTAAGTTTTGAACCATAAAAATTTAAAGAGATTAAAACAAAGAACAACACTTTTTACTACGAATATACACTTAAATTTTGAAGTTATCTTAAGTTTGATTATGCATTTGAACAAATGGTTGTTCAGAACATATTCATATTATTTTGCTTGCATGTATTTTCCAAAGTACTTAAAATAGCAGTAAATGATTTTATTTGTTATGTAATATATATATATATATATATATATATATATATATATATATATATATATATATATATATATATATATATATATATATATATATATATATATATATATATATATATATAAGCTACAAAATAGTATATTGGTGAAACAGGAGATCTCCGCAGGAGAGTCAATAACCACCGTTCGACCATTAGGACCAAAAAACTCAATGAACCTGTTGGGGAACATTTCAACCTTGAGGGTCACAAATGGGAGGACATGACAGTAGTGGTGATTGACCATAATCCAAGATGGACAGATGCTCAGAGAAAAAGCAAAGAAAAGTTCTGGATGCACAGATTGAAGTCATTCCGCCCTAATGGTATTAACAAACTGAATGACTTCACCAGAATGAACGTAAACTAGACCTAATTCCTGATGATACTAAACAAGATTATTCTCTCAATTTAGTGTAAACTCTACAGTTAATGTGCGTCACCAACTCTCGAACAACTCTCATAACTATGTATTGCTTACACCTTTGTTAAATATTTTTTCCCGGTAATAAGTCCTTAAATATTTCAAAATTTATAATTGATCATAATTTATATGTTTAGATATCCCTGCTATATTATTTTTCTTCGATTATTCTTTATTAAGTAAAGTTACGCCATTTTGAGAGAATGAAACAATGTACGATTTACTGATTGTCGTAATTAATTAGCATAATTAATTCGTTCAATTATGTAAATCGCACTTCACCCGAGTATACCCGATAAACCGGACGCATTTCATAGCGGTCCGGATTTCTTTCTTTATTAGTGTTCTTAAAAATTTCCAATTCATCATGTAATTAGGTATGTAAATATCTAATGTTTAGTAGTTTATTAGTAGAGTATACCCGATAGACCGGACGCATTTCATAGCGGTCCGGATTTCTTTCTTTATTAGTGTTCTTAAAAATTTCCAATTCATCATGTAATTAGGTATGTAAATATCTAATGTTTAGTAGTTTATTAGTAGTGCTAGTTGTTTTTGTTTCTCTTTTTCCTTTGTTCTTATGACTTTTTAACTTTTTTCTTTGTCCCGAGGAAGGGACAGGGCGTCCCGAAAATTTGACAATTTTTATTGTTCGTGTCGTTGGTCATTTTTAGTGCTTTATATATATATATATATATATATATATATATATATATATATATATATATATATATATATATATATATATATAACTTGAATTTGACTCCAAATTGTTTCCCTCCCTTCTCCAAAGGGTACACTCATGATTTCAACAAATTTTAATATTCAATATATCCGGATGCTTACATGTCTATACGACTAAACATAGCTTTTCTTTTATGGGGATTTTTCCCTTTATTTTCCTATGTAAAACTTTGATCCACAATTGAGAACCCACCCTACCTTTTGGGGGTTATGATGTGAACAGATTTAATTCTACACATTATGAGAATGCTTCCATCTAAATATAACTAATCATGGCTTTGTTATTCTTTAGAAGAACATTTTTAAAAAATATATTTTAATGTAAAACTTGGATCCCCATTGTGGCCCCACCCTATAACTCAGGGTCATGATTTGAACAAACATGAATCTACACTTCCTGAGGATGCTTCCATATACATGTCAATAATCATTTCTTTGCAGTACTTGAGAAGCAGATTTTTTAAGATTTTCCCTATATGTTGCTATGTAAAATTTTGATCGGTCATTGTGGCCGCTTCCTACCCCATGAATTCATGATTTGAACAAACTTGAATGCACACTACCTGAGGATCATTCAACATGAGTTTCATCTTTCCTGTCCCTATGGATCTTAAGAAGAAGATATTTAAAGATTTTTCTTTATATTTCAATGTAAAACTCTGATCGGCCATTGTGGCCCCACCCTATCCCCGACGGTCATGATTTGATCAAAGTTGAATGCACACTACCTGAGGATGATTCAACATGAGTTTAATCTTTCCTGTCCCTATGGATCTTGAGAAGAAGATTTTTAAAGATTATTCCTATAGATCCCCATGTAAAATTTTGATCGGCCATCGTGGTCCCATCCTACCCCCGGGGGTTATGATTTAAATAAATTTGAATGTACATAGCTTAGGATGATTTCACTTGAGTTTCATCTTTCCTGTCCTAATGGTTCTTGAGAAGAAGATTTTTAAATATTTTCACTATATATTCCTATGTAAAACGTTGGTCGGCCATTGTGGCCCAACCCTTGGCCCGGGGTCATGATTTAAACAAATTTGAATACACACTACCTGAGGATGATTCAACATGAGTTTCATCTTTCCTGTCCCTATGGATCTTGAGAAGACGATTTTTAAAGATTTTTCCTATATATTCCAATGTAAACCTTTGATCGGTCATTGTGGCCCCACCCTACTTCTGGGGGTCATGATTTGAACAAACTTGAATCTACACTACCT